AATTGATGACAAACCTCATTCTGGACATCCATCAACTTCTCAAATGGATGAAAATGTTGACTTGTAGTACATTTGGAGTTCTTTCCACCGGGTCAGCCTGTTTGTCAAGTTTTCTATTGAGAGGTTCTGAAAAGATCGAGTAACCATGTGTGACCAAAAAGGCCTGATTTGTGGCAGACAGGGGACTGGTTCTGCCACCACAACACTCAGTATGCCAGTTTTTGGCAAAAACAAACAAACCAGCATGGCTCTCTTGTCACATTCACCTTACTTACCTGATCTCACTCCATGCAACTTCTTTTTGTTTCTGGGAATGAAGAGGGACATGAAAGGACAGTGATTTGACAATGTAGAAGAGGTGAAGGAAAAAAAAACAGAGGTGCTGTCAGCCATCCAAACAGATGATTTTTTAAAATGTTTCCAAGAATGGAATTGCATATTTGACAAATGTATTAAGTATAATGGAGAGTACTTTGAAGGTGATAAGCTTTTTTTATTAAAAAAAAATTAAATACATAGCTTTGAAAATTTTTTTGGTTTTTTTTGAGTGGGGAGTACCCCTCATATAGTAGGTTTTAAGGTCTGGGAATGAAAGGTCTCCTGTTTTGTTTTATTTTTTAGGAGTGTTTATCCTAGGTTTCTTTCATTTCCATATAAAGTTGGTAATTATTTTTTCCATTTCTTTGGAGAACTGTGCTGGGATCAGAATTGCTTGGGATTTGTAAAGTATTTTTGGTAATATTGACATTTTCACAATGTTTAGTCTACCTATCCAGGAACATGGTAACTTGTTCCATTTGTATTTCTTTCAGTTACTTGAAGGAGTGCCGTGGTAGTTTTCCTTGTACAAGTCTTTTGTTTCTCTCATAAGATTTATTCCTAAATAGTTTGTTTTGTGTAGTTATTATAAACAGTATTGTTCTTTTGTTATCTTTTTCAATATCATCATACTTAATACACAAGAATCCAACTGGTTTCTGTATATTGATCTTATAGCCTGTTACGCTGCCAAGGTTTTCAATTAGTTCGAGTAATTGTTTAATTGAATCTTAGGAGTTTTACATATAGTATTATGTTGTCTGCAAATAAAGAGATTTTTATTTCTTCTGTGACTATGTGGATATCTTTAATTTTTTAAAATATATTTTACAGCTCTAGCTAAAACTTCCAAGATTATAATAAATAAAGTGGTGATACAGGGCAATCTTATTAGTTTCTGTTCAAAGAGGAAATATGTCAGTTTTTCACCATTAAGTGAGATGCAGACTATTGGTTTCACATATATGGTTTTTATTATGTTGAGAAATTTCCCTTCTATACCTATTGTATTGAGTGTTTTTATCAGGAATGGATGTTGAATTTTATCAAATGCCTTTTCTGCATCAATTGATAAAATCATGCTTTTTTCTCCTTAATTTTGTTTATATGATGAATTATAAAGATTATTTTTCTAATATTAAACTATCCTTGTATAATTGATAAGAATTCCACTTGATTGTGATGTATTTTTTTTTTTATGCTTAGTTGAATTTTGTTGGCTAGGATTTTATTGAAGATCTTAGCATCTATATTCATTAGAGATATTGGTCTGTGATTTTCAACTGTGAGGCTCTTTTTGCCTGGTTTAGGGATTAGTGATAATTGCTTCATAACATGAATTTAGTAGTATAATATCCATTTATATATTGTGAAATAATTTATATAAAATTGGTATTAAATCTTCTCTAAATGTTTGATAGAAGTCCCCGGTGACGCCATTTGGACACAGGTGTTTTTGATGCTGAGAGTCTTTTAATGACAAAATCTATTTCTTCTTGTGTTATAGGCTTGTTAAGATTTTCAATATCATTCTGTGGTAATTTAGGCAAATAATGCATTTCTAGAAATTTATTCATTTTGTCTAGATTTCCAAATTTATCAAAATACAATTTTTCATAATATTGTATGATTTAAAAATCTCATTTAGGTTTGTTGTAATATCATCCATTTCATTCCTGATTTTTTAAAAATTTGACAACCTATCATTTTATAGGCTAATTTTTTTGCTGCTTTTTTTAAAAATTATTTTATTGGGGGCTTTTACAGCTCTTATCACAGTCCATACATATATCCATTTTGTCAAACTCATCTGTACATATGTTGTCATTATCTTTTTCAAAACATTTTCTTTCTACTTGAGCCCCTGGCATCAGGTCTTTATTTTTCTCCCTCCCTCTCCCACCCTCCCTCCCACATGCCCCCTTGATAATTTATGAATTAGTCTTTTTTTATCATGTCTTACACCGACTGCGGTCTCATTTCACCCACTTTTCTGCTGTTATTTCCCCTGGGATGGGGGCCATACATCCATCATTGTTCTCCCTTACTCCCCCCACCCCAATACTTACTCTCCTAATATCGCTGCTCCCTTTAGTGGTCCTCAGGAGTTTATCTCTTCTGGATTCCCTGTGTTGCAAGCTCTTATCTGTACCAGCATACATGCTCTGGTCTAGCCAGATTTGTAAGATAGAATTGGGGTCATGGTAGTTGGGGAGCGGGGGCAAGGAAGCATTAAAGAACCAGAGGAAGGTTGTGTGTTTCTTCAGTGCCATACCGCACCCTGACTGACTCTTCTCTTCCTTGTGGCCCTTCTGACAGGGGGTGTCCAATTGACTACTGATGGGCTTTGGGTCTCCACTCTGCCCTCCCCCTCATTCCCATTGATATGCTTTTTGTTTATTTTGTTTTGGGTCTTTGATGCTTGATACCCGATCCCATCAACACCCCATGATCACACAGGCTGGTGTGGGCTTTGTTGCTTCTCACCTAGATGACTGCTTGTTTATTTTCAAGCCTCTAAGACCCAAGATGCTATATCTTTTGATAGCCAGGCACCATCAGTTTTCTTCACCACATTTGCTTGTGCACCTGCTTTGTCTTCAGCCATCATGTCAGGGAAGGTGAACATCACAGAGTGTAGTGTTAGTAGAAGAAATTGTTCTTGCACTGAGGGAGTACTTGAGTGGAGGCCCAATGTTCGTCTGCTACGGTAAAACTTTATACATAAATATATGTACATATCTCTATTTCCTTCTATTTCATTGTATATAAAGGTATTGTCATATATAAGTGCCTGTATTTAGACCTCTATAACTGTCCTATGCCTCCCAGTTCTTTCCTCTATTTCCTTTTACTTTCTTCCCATCCACTATCATGTTCTATCTCCATTCCTCTTCTATTCCAGGTTTCCCCTGCAATGGATTGGTGGAAGGACAACTTCTGGCTCATCTTAGCTGTGACCATCATCATTGTTTCCATGGGCCTTGGCCTCATCCTGTTCTTTGTCTGTAGGAGGCAGCTTAGACAAGGTAATGGCCCCCATACCTGGGTGGGTATCAGTGGGTTAGTTATCAGTGCGTTAGGACTCTTTAGGCCAGGAGAATTCATTGTGGGCCTGTATGAGTTAAAACTTGGTTTAGCACCATGCATTCTGGGTATGAATCCTACCTCTGCCACTAACTTATGTCCATGAGTCTCAATTTCCCTGTATGTATAGAGAAGGGAAAGAGGTTAATTAATCTCCAAGCACCCTTGTAGCCTTAAATAACAAACCACTACCACCGAGTCAATCCTGAGTCACAGCCAACCTAGAGGAGAGCAGAACTGCCCCTGTGGGTTTTTGAGACGGTGGCTCTTCATGGGAGTAGAAAGCCCTGTTTTCCTTCTGCAGAGCAGCTGGTGGTTTCAAACAGCTGACTTTATGGTTAGCAGTCCAACATGTAACCGCTGCACCACCAAGGCTCAGTTCCAGCCCTAAGTGGTTAAGTGAAAGCAGAATCTACTTCAAGACACAATATGCTCAAGTGACTGACTGTTCAACACAGTGAGAGAACACACTTGTGAGAACATGAGTCTGTAGAACGTCAAGCAAAACAAAAAATTGTCTTGAGGAGTGAAATGTGAACTTAATCTATGTTCCACTTATTGTTTGGCCACTATGATCGCCGACTCTAAGGTCATACACTGAATTGTATGCCACCTTTACCAGATGTTTTTGCCAATCTTGACCTAAAAATGTAGCTATCTGGAGAAATCATATTAATTTTAGATTGGCTAAGTGTGGTTTTCCACTTTGCTATTTATCTCCAGAAATGTGAAATCATTCACTCAATGATGTTTTTGCTTTAGATGCTATTCCTTTGAATAATGACCTAAGCCAAGAGTACACTTGGGAATGATAAATACACTGATGTGTGGAACCACTTTCCTCTGGAGTACCTTGGACAGACCGCTCAGCGGCCAGGGTGCAGTCCTTCCAATGCATCCAGACAGCCTCAGGTCAGGCGTGCTGACAGGTCAGGAGGCCCCAGAGGTGAAAGAAAGTTGATGCTCACGTAGCCATGCCTCTCAGTCTCTTTTTTGAGATTACGAAGGGAGATGGAGCCTTGGTTGGGGACCCACAGGGGTTGCTGGTGGGGTTAGGACTAGAACTCAGGTCTTCCGGGCCCCCAGTTCAATGCTCTCCCCTCTTGACTCCTTTGTTGTTGTTAGGTGCCATCCGGTTGGTTCCTACTCACAGTGACCCTAAGTGCAACAAAGAATTGGCTGTTGTTTTTCTCTTTAAAACAAAATTTGCATTCTGATTTGAGATCCTCTATCTTGAGATTTTTTTTCATTCGTAAATATGGACCAACATTGTGACCCCAGACAAAAGTCTTACCTTTTATCTTGATCTTCCTTGAAAAGAAGGTTATCACTGATGATAACTTCTATGTTCAGAACAATTTATAAGCTGCCTTCCCCATTTTTAAAATCCTTATTTCCTCCTACCAGCATCTGTGTTTCTAAATGCCACCTAAATGCCAGGCTTGAGAGTGGAAAATAGGCACGAGGAAATAACACAGCCCCCACGATCCCTGCCGTCCCTGGGTAGCACGTAGGCTCTGTGGTCAGACGGCCTGAGCTCCAGTCCTGGCGTCACACTCACCAGCTCTGTGTCTGGACGTCTCCTGTCTGTGGCCCTTTGAGGACTTCCAAGCTCGAAAATCACAGCCATTGTGAACTCGTCCTAAATGGAAATGTTTTTCTCCCCTTAGGCAAGGAATGGAAAATCACCAGATCCTTAAGGCGAAACCAAAGAGAGGAGGAAACGATGTATGAGTAAGTGGATGCCAATCCCCCTGATTTCTTATTTGGAGCCTCACTCGTTCGAGTGCAGGATGGGGACCCAATGCCCATCTGTAGTATTCTCACACACTACGTCACTAGCATGACTAAAATGCCTACTCTCGTAGAGCCAGTGAAATGTTATACTTTCCAACTTCTTCCTCTATGGAAAGAGGACTCAGGGATTTGGGTAGGCAAGGTATTTGTCTTTGTGTCTGTTCTCCAAGTCCTCCCTGTCTACGCTATTTCATTTTATTTATTTTTTATCTACGCTATTTTAATAGAGGTGTGGGGCTGCATGTCTGGGCCCACCTTCCAGGTGAACTCTATGCTTCTGTTCATTAGACAGATTACAAGTATAATCCTCTTACATCTTTGTGCTGAATAAAAATATACTTTGCCCTTTATTTTTGGATTTTAGGATGCCTAGTGGGGCTTAATCAAGGGTAATGTAACCGAAAGGAATTACTGAAACCCAAATGAAGGCCAAACATGATAGTGGAACAAGAGTAAAGTAAAAGGAAAAAGAGGAAAGAACTAGGAGGCAAAGGGTGCTTATAGAGGTCTAAATACAGGCATGTACATATGTAAATACATTTATATATAACGATAGGGAAATAGATCTGTGTACATATATTTATATGTTAAGTATTAAGGTAGCAGATGGACATGGGGCCTCTACTCAAGTACTCCCTCAATGCAAGAACACTTTGTTCTAATAACCTGGCATTCTGTAATGCTCACCTTCCCAACACGATGGCTGAAGGCAAAATGGGTGCATAAGCAAATGTGATGAGGAAAGCTGATGGTGCCTGCCTATCAAAAGATATAGTGTCATCTAGCTGAGAAGCAACAAAGCCCACATGGAAGAAGCACACTAGCCTGTGTGATCACATGGTAATAGGCATCAAAGAACAAAAAATCATATCATTGTGAATGAGGGGGAGTGCAGAGTAGAGACCCAAAGCCCATCTGTAGGCAATTGGACATCCCCTTACAAAAGAGTTGCAGGGAGGAGATGAGCCAGTCAGGGTGCAGTATAAGAATGATGAAACATACAACTTTCCTATAGTTCTTTAATGCCCCGCCCCCACTATCATGACCTCAATTCTACCTTGCAAATCTGACTAGACCAGAACATGTACACTGCTGCAGAGAAGAGCCTGCAACACAGGGCATCCAGTAGAGATAAACCCATCAAGATCTATAATGAGAATAGAGATACCAGGGGGGGAAGGGGAAGGTGAGGGGAGAAAGGAGGAATTGATCACAGTGATCAATATATAATGCCCCTCCTCCCTCAGGGGGACAAACAACAGAAAAGTGGGTGAAGGGAGACAGCAGATGATGTAAGATATGAAAATAATAATAATTTATCAAGGGTTCATGAGGGAGGGGAAAAATGAGGAGTTGGTATCAATGGCTCGAGTAGAAAGAAGTGCTTTGAAAATAATGATGGCAACATGTACAAATGTGCTTGACACAATGGACGTATGTATGGGTTGCAATAAGAGCTGTAAGAGCTCCCAATAACATGATTTAATAATAATTAAATAAAACTAAATGGGTCCCTTGTGGTGGTGGGTGAAAAATTCTTTGGTGCAACTTTCTCAGCAATGCAATTTTCAATTCTCTTAAACTTCTTCATAATAAGCCCCTGTGACTGTGATTGAGAAACTCAGTCTAGATTACCGCTTTGGAGTTCCCCAACAGTTTCCATAACCATCTGGGCTGGACTCTCTGCCTTGGGTGAAGCTAGTTCAACACATCACCTCAAAAGCCACGGCTTTGATTAAACCCCGCTGGACCATTTTTTCCACCCCTGCTGGATGTGAACCACACATGAACCACATGTGAACCACACATGAGCCACAAGAATCCCAAATACTAACTCTCTTTTTCTCTCTCTAGGAATGTTCTTAATCAAGTGCCAGCTCAGTTACCTCCTCTGCCACTCAGGGACTTACCTTCTCCAGAACTTTCCTGTAAGTGTATTTTGCTGCTAACAGTTCCACCCCGGGTAGGGTAACAAATGTACCTAGGAGAAGGTGGCAGTGTGCTGTTTAAAAAAGAAGTTAAAAAGAGGAAGAATAGGTGTCAGTGCTCTTGATAGTTAACGTATAAATTCATGGTTAAATTCCATCTTGAAAATGCAATAGGCCCGGTGACATCACGTTGGACTTTTCACATTTTCAACCTGCTTCCTGTTTCTAGAACGTTCTTCCTGAAACTCTTCGCCTAGAGAGTTTTGGCTCGTCCTTCAGGTGTCGGCTCAGATGTCCCCATCTCAGAAAGGCCATCCCTGATCACCCGACCTAGTGCAACCCTGCTAACACCCTTGATGAAACACAGGACAATGAGCTGAATTTCCTTAAGTTACTGCTCATTTGTTAGTTATATACCTCCTCCTCCAAAAAATAAACTCCAGGAAGATAGGGTCCTTTCTCTTGCTCATCAACTGTTGCCTACTACCAAGAACAGTGCCTGGAGCTTCGTGGATACTTGATAAAAAGGTGTTTTGATTAAATGAATAACTAAGTAGTAATATTAGCCAATATTTATTCAACAGTGTTGGGCACTTTCTAGGTGTTATGATTTACTCTTCACAGCAGCTTATAGTCATGTACATTGTTAGTCTCCTTTAACAGAGGAGGATGCTGAGGGACAGAGAATTTAAATGATCTGCCCAAGATCACACAGTTAGTGAGGGCTAGTGCCTGAATATGAACTTAGGTCTGTCAACTGCAAGGTTCTGCAAAGTGAAATGGTGGTAGCTTTTCAGATTCTCCTGGGTGGAGATGGAGTCCCCTAGTAGTACAGTTATCTCACTTAGCTAAGTGAAAAGTGAGGTTTGAGCCTACCCAGAGGCATCTTAAGAGCCCTGGTAGCATAGCAGGCTATCCATTGGGCTGCTATCCACAAAGTCAGCGGTTTGAAACCACCAGCCACTCCATGAGAGAAAGATAAGGCTTTCCACTCCCGTGAAGAGTTGCAGTCTTGGAAACCATCTGGGGGCACGTTTACCCTGACCCTGCAGGGTCCCTGTGAGTCAGAATGGACTCGATGGCAGTGAGGGTTTGTTGGTTTGTGTTTGTTTTGTTTTTGCTTTCCAGAGGCACCTTGGAAGAAAGGTCTGGTGGTCTATTTCCCCCAAATCAGCTATTGAAAACGTTATGAGGCACAGTTCTACACTGACACTCGTTGGATGTCCATGATTCAGAATCGACACAACAGCAACTGGTTTGGGGAGGAGGTGGGACTGCACAGAGGCAGTTCGAATCCCCACCACAGGTGGAACTGCGCTGTCTTGTCATCCCTCTGGTCCTTTTGCTATGTACTCCGATACAAAAATAGCTATCTTTACTACCGTCCAGTCAAGTCTGATTCATAGCAACCCTATAGGACAGAGCAGACCTGCCCCTTGGGTTTTCCAAAAGCAGCTGCGGGATTCAAACTCCGGACCTTGTGGTTAGCAGCCCAACACATAGCACACTGCACCACCAGGGCTCTCTGCTATGTACTGCACGAATTCTACCTTTTGTAAGCCCCATTGTTTCCTTCCTCTCTTAGCGAGAGAGGTAGTGGAGGTCAATATGAAGAATCTGTCAGAAGCAAATTTGGCTTGTATCACTTTCTTAGGGGAATTAGGGTCTGTTAACACAGCTGCTGGTTCTGGTCGGTGTCTTTTCTGAAGGATCAAGCCTTGGTTCCACGGTGTCACTACAGGGACACATGGGGGTCAAATATTGGATGTCTGATCTTATTTGCCATCTGCTCACTTGGGTGATCCTGGCACGGTGTCATAAACGTGCCTAACTGTAAAATGGGAAGCTAGTCCACCAAAAGTCAGAAGACTATGGAAACGCAGACAATCATGTAGACAATTGCTTTGCATCTAAGGTGCTTTCTGTGTCTTCCAGCTCCACGGGAAACCCCAGTTCAGCCACCAGTTACATATTCATCGTTACACAAAGTTAGAAACACAAAGACAGCTTCCATCCCAAGCAGCATCGAGTATGAAGATGACTACGATGATGTTGAAATACCTACAACTATTGGAAATCATCAGTTTGAAACAACAATTTCCTCTTTTTGTCAAGCGGAGAAGGGTTCGCGCAGTGTATTTTGAAACAATTAAGACTGGCTGAACTGCTCAGTCACAAAGTGAGCAACGGCATCAGCAGAACCTTCATCGTAGAGAAGACCCAAGCAGCTAACAGACGTCAGAAGACACCGGTGATCCCTGGCCAGAGAGACGCAAATCAAAACTACAATGCAATACCATCTGATCCTGGATAAAATGACACTGATTAAATAAAAAAAGACATGTGCCAGCCTGTGTGATCCAAGGATTTTAAATAATAAAATCTAAGTCTGAAGGAGGGAAAGGCATCAGAGCTTGAAGTGTGAACACCCGGTTTGCAGAAACCTATAGGTGATAGTGGAAGCATAGAATCCATTTGCAGGGTCCCTAAATGGATTAAGCCTCCAGTGAATTCCCTCCATACATAGTCTGGTCTTGCTGTCAAACAGAGAGCAATGTAAACTAATTATGGCAGGTGTAGTGAGGTTAAAATGTAATACTTTGTGATTTGATCTCTCATTTGAGACCCATTTTAAATTTGTTTCAATTTTTGAGCATTCTGCTTTTTTTTTTTAGCGTGTTCTATGGTTTTTGTTGTTGTTTGTTTTGTGTTTTCTGTGTTTTGTCTAGTCATTGTTATTGGGTTGTTTGGCTTGCTACCTGTTTTGGATTTTGTATGATTTTCTGTATATGAAATCCAGGATAGGTAGATCTGAAATGGTAATTGGATTGATAATTGCCTAGGGGCATGGCAGGGGAGAATTTGGAGGGGGAGACAAAATGGGGAGCTAACAACAGTGAATAAGGAAGAAAATATTCTGAAATTGATTGTGGTGTTGATTGCATGCGTCTTCTTAATACAATTGAATGTTAAATTGTATATGTGAAGTCTATGCCAATAAAATGATTTTACAACAGACAGAAAAAGATAACATTTTTATCATTTCTTTTAACATATTTAAACCATTAAATTGTATGGTAGGTGAGTTATGTCAATAAAACTGTTAAAATAAAGCATATGTCAGAGGGTATTGAGGTCATATGCAGATACTGTGCCACTTTCTAGAACCGATTTGGCACTCATGGATTTGGGTACCCCAGGGGGCCCAGAGCCAATTCCCTGCAGATATTGAAGGACAACTGTATTTACTTACTTGTTCAGCCCAGAGGACATGAAGTTCTCCATAGTCTTTGAAATACCTAATCCAGCCTTGAGATGATCTTTTAGCAGAAAAGCAATGCCTATTAGATCAGGGCTTTTCTTATTTAAGAAAGAAAGAACTGTGAAGCATTGGCTCCTAACCACAAAATTAGCAGTCAAACCCATCAACTACTCTGCCCTAAAGAAAAATGATGCAGTCTACTCCTGTAAAGATTTAGTGTCCAGAGCCCCAAGGACCAAATCTACCTTGCCCTACCTTGTCATGTATGTTTATGTCCGTATGCATCAGAAGTGACTTCATGGCAGCGGGTCTGATTTTTTTGGTTGGTGCTACTAAAAGAGTCCAAAAAGTTAACATTTAATTCAAAGCAAACATGAGACAAAAGGAGAGTAGGGAAACTAGAGTACTGGAAATAGAACAACCACAATGCAACGGAAGAGAATGTTGACTCAATATGAAAAACATCACTAATATTATTGATTGATTTGTGTGGAAATTGCCAATCAGCGCCTAATTTGCTGCATAAACTTTCACCCAAAACATAACACATTATTTTGGGGAAAAGAGAAAATACAATTGCCTCTGCTCAAAATCCCACCTGCCCCCAACCACCACCAATCAGGGAGTGAGGGGGGGGGGTGATAACAAATGTTGGGAGGATGTGGGGAGACTGGAACCGGTACCAGGACTATGGAAAAAAGCACGCTGCTTTCTCAATACACTAGAAATAGAGCTAGTCTGACATCTAACGATCCCTCTCTAGGTGCATGACCTAGAGGAAGAACCTTATAAACGGAGACATGAATAGGCATGTACACACCTATGTGTTCATTCTGCTTTATTCACAATAGCAAATGAATGGAAATACCGGAAGTCTCCATCGGTGGTAAGTAAATAAGCAAATTGTGGCACATAGGTTAGGTTCCTGGACTGGGTTACCTCGGTTCTTGCTTCGAGGTGCTGAAAGAATTCACGCAGGAGAAGCACATTTTGTCATCCAAGTGACATTTTTAGGAGGAGAAGGGAAGTTTCGGGTATTACAGTCTCAAAAATACACAGTTTCTGGAAAGCGTGCAAGGCATGAGAGCGGGAGTTCACAGTTGAACGTGAAAAAACACGTGGAAAGAATACAGGAACGGGAGCCCAAAACCCACACCATGAAATCCCAAGGGGTGAGAGAGAGACGGCGCATGTTCACCTGCATGGGGGAGACATTCACACTCTCCACCAGCCTTGTACGCCTGAAAAAGGTAGCCTGCCTTGAGGACTGCTTTTGCCCTCACTGGCTGGGGAGGCGTGGGTGAAGGGATTGGCTGACCTTACTGGCTGAGTTGGGCACATTCCTGGGATGTCAGGTGCTTCGGTTGTGGCTTTGGGTTTAGGTTCACCTGTGCTTAGGAGGCTTAGTTTGCACATGCCCAGTTCTGGATTTTCTCATGAGTGTCCACTGGATGCCTGATTTCCCTGCAAGCCCTCTGTGGGGGCCCTATGTAGGCACTGGGGAGACAGCCCCTCCTTAGTCCTATCCTGGCTCCCTAATACATACATTCAATGGAATACTACATAACCATAAAGAACAATCATGCATTTGAAATACATATTATAACAAATAAACCTGGAGGGTGTAATGCAAAGTAAAATATGTCTATCGCGTAAGGGCAGATGCTGAATGATCACTTTTATAAGAATAAACTCACTGCCACCGAGACAAGTCCAGCTCACAGGCACTGTCCCACAGGGGAGTACCATTCCTGTGAGTTTCAGTGGCTGCATATAGATAAATAGCGAAAGACGAATCTAGAACTTCTTTCTTGTCAGATGCCAACATTTAGTGACCCTGCACACAAAAGAAGGACGTGCTGTCCAGCCCTGTAATAGCTTCCCAACAATCGCTGTGCTTACGCCCCTGTTGTAGCTATTTCATTGATCTTCTTTTTCACCGACCCTCTGCTTTACCGAGCCTGATGTCCCTCCTATGAACATGCCCCAAGCATGTGAGACAAGGTCTTGCCATTGTCACTTCTAAGAAGGATTCTGGTTGTGCTTTCTTCCAATACGGAGTTGTTCGTTCATCTGGCAATCCTATAGCATATTCAATATTCTCCACCACCACCACAAGTCAAAGGCATCAATTCTTCATGGGGCTTCCTTATTCACCGTCTAGCTTTTGCAAGCACATGAAGCAATGGAAAATTCCATGGCTTAGATCAGGTGCACTTTTTTATTTACAAAGGTATGTGTAAATACAAACATTGTGGTTGGAAGGGGTGCCAGCCTTCCCCGCCCCACCCCCATCACAGATTTGATAGGCACAATTGTACGGTTGAGATATATAAATATTATATTAAAGTCATCGAGATATAGCATAATAAAGTCACAGAGAGCATGAGAGAGAAGAGATATTGAAATAATCGAGTCAGACACATTTCATGGTAGCAATGCTCACTTCAGCCCCGCTTGGTGGTCCACGTGGAGAGAGGGGGAGGGGAAGGAGGACAAGGGGAAAGGGAACAGGGGAGCGAGGATGGAAGAGGAGAGGGGGAGCCAATGAGAGGTCAAGGGAGGAGCCGAGAGAGAGCTCTTTATTGCTAACTCAGGCCTATATATCTTTAGGGCGTGCAAGCCCACTAGTTATAGGTAAAGACATATGTCACAGGAAGGGGTTGCACTATAAGTTATACAGCAATGAGGGGGACAATCTAGGGATATACGCGCAATAGGAAGAGGAGGGATTGGGGGTTTACATGTGACAAGAAGGGCGGATCCTAGATTCAGGATGGCAGCCTAACTTTGGATGTCACTGAGCAGGTTTGACCTGTTCTCTGGATCCCAAATAAACCATGATCAGTAGGGTGTAAACCCCACCTACAGGAACCAAATCAATGACTGCAAGCCTTTAGGGCAGAGTAGTCCATTGTCCTTACCAGCAGAGAGTGGGGCTTACCATAGTCTGGTGACGGACTGCCTTCAGGGAGGATGTCTCTAAGCTTCTGACCTCCTTCCATATGCTAGCAAAAAGCCCCTAATGTTTGGCATGTCTTTAGGGGAGGCAAAGCTGGGGAAAATCTGTTTATAATCCCACAAAACATGTGAGTGCGGGTATATAAATTCATTAACAAACATAATTACAGACACTCCTCAGATATAGCCTTTCAACATTGATCTCTTTCAACCTTTCAACATTGGTCTCTGGCTTTGACGGCTAAGGACTATAGTCTCATGGAACAGCTCGGTCAATTGACATAACATAGTTCATAGAAATCAAGATCTGTATCCTGGTGAAGGGAAGCACATTGGGGTCTTAAAAATTTGTGGGTGACCATCTAAGACACAACTCTGGTTCTACTCACCAGCAGCAAAGCAGCGAAGTACCCAAAAGCACAGAGAAGCAGCAAATCTACAAGAACCACAGTCTCGTCTACCTGAGACCAGAAGACCTAGATGGTGCCCAACCACGGCTGACTACGATGGCCAGGATCACAATCATTGGTTCTGGGTAAAATGGGAGGAACATATGAAGCAGAATTCAAATTCTTATTTTTTTTAAAAACTGTTTTAAATTCAAACAAACTAGAACAGTAGAGAACAGAGGACATTCTGAAACTATTGCCCTGAGACATTCTTTTAAACCTAGAACGAAGCATAAGCCACATTGGCTGGAATCAAACACAAGTCTCCTGCATGCAAAGCATGAATTTAACCACCGAGCCACAACCGACCCCTTTATGACCGAAATCATCGTAAGTCTGTGGTTGATTTTGTGGAGTCTCCCAGACTCCCATCTCAGAAAGCCCCCCTCCTGTTCTCTCCACCCCCATGCATTCAGGGGTCCTAGGAAGTACTCTAGTGCGTGGTCTCCACCTCAGACTTTGTAGATTCTTCAAGGGCAGGAAGTGCCTTTTGTTCTTTGAACTCCGCCCTCCTGCCCTCCCACCACCACCCCGGCCCGCCACCAACACACACCCCAAGTTCTGAATTCTTTATATGGTATTGGCTAAACTTACCCAGAGATTCAAGGGTTTTTTTCTCATCATAGTTTGTATTTTCCTTCTGCGTGTGCAGGGCAGGTTACGCTCTAATAAGCAACTAAAG